TCATTTTGTAATATATTTGCAGAAATAGTAGTTGCGAATTAAAATATTCAATCAAATTTTTACAAATAATAAATACGCAAATTTTGTCAAGTCTAAAAGTCAAAAAAATGTTGAAGAAATCGGAAATCAGTGATTACTTTTTTTTTTAATGATTTTCAAATTTCACATAATTTTGCAAACCGCAATAATTGCAACTAATCAATTAGTCGATTAATCGATTAATCGATTAGTTGATGTCTAAAAGTTCAATCGATTAGTTGTCAACTAACCAACTAATCGATTTTTTCAACTTTCGATTTGTAACACTAGGTTAAAGAACACAATAGTAATCTAATGTATATAATTTTAGAAATCACAATCCAATGCATTCCACGTTCTTTTCTCACCTAAACTTGTAAACCAAGCAAATTATAGAATCAGAGAAATCCGCAACATCGTGAGAGTTTAAGTACAGAATTTCACGTTTTAAATGCATTATCCAATTTGGTGCAAAATTTTGCGCCATTTAAAGTGCGCGAGAAAAATATCCGGAAAAATGTTAGGCTTACGTAATTTTTTTGATGATTTTAAGCTTAAATTAATGCATAGAATCGTAATGGTAACATTTATTTAAGCCTCAAATCATTGAAAAAAGTTTAGCCATTCTCGAATTAGATAAAAATTCCGGATATTTTGTTCGCGCACATTAAATTGTCATGCAACCATACACCTGGTATAAACCCTAACAGTGTTACTATTGTTTTTTTCTCATTTATTTTATTCTATTTTCTTTCTTGCCACGCCGTTTATCATGTAAAATAAATCGACGTCATACTGTATTCGTCGAAAATCCTAGCTATGGCGAAAAAAAAGTTGCAGTCACGTGACTTAACCAATCTGCGAAAATCAAAACAATCGAATAAGTGCTATATTTAAACCAATAAACTCTATCGTTAGGGTTAGAAGAGAAGTATATCCTATACCAAAATTTTGCGAGGAATTTTTTTTGTTAGAGCGCAAGAGGCGGTTTTATAAGATAAAACTTGAGTTATCAGCGATTTTTCAAAAAAAAAAAAAGCAAACAATGTGTAATTTTCACGTTACACGTGATCTTGCGATCTAATTGGCTAGATTGCCTCAAAATCATGTGACTGCAACTTTTTTTTCGCACTCGTACTATTTCATTCGATTACCAAAATTTTTAGAACTGGATTGTGTATATGAGTGCCGCCAAAGAAAATCCGATTTCGGTAAAAACATATCGGACATAGTCCCTGAAATCTATGATACGTAATTCAAGGCAAGTGCATGAAGATTTTTTTTAGCAATTTTGGCGATACTACTTTTAGTAAAAATGTCACATCTCTTTTTTAATCTTATTTATGCGTCATTTTCAGGGACTATGTCTAATACGTTTTTTATGCAAAAAAAAACAAAGTCAGGGGTTGTTTTTTTTGGCGGCACTCATATAGTTTAGTATTAATTTAAAAACATTCATATTGGTGTATATCTTTCTCTTTAAATCATGTATAAATAATTTTGTGTTTGAACTTAATAAAAACTTTAGAGTTCTATTTGTCTTTTAATACAATATTAAGTAGCGAATGCAATGAGGATTATTTTGGGCTTAATAAACTTTTTTTTTAATTTTAAATTTCATTTCTTAAAGGTAAAAATAATCATGATATATTCCGAATAAGTCTTTATTGAAATAAAAAAATCTGTTTTTTTATAATAAGATAAATGATAGTTCATTACTCGTGAAACAATTTGAAAAACAAATATTACAAAAAACAATAAATATTGTGATATTGGTTTTTTCTTCTGGTTCTGTTCTTGCTTTCACTGCCTTCTTTCCTTTGATTCCTCCTTTTCTTTTTTCTTGATTGCTAAAGTTATCTTTTCTCCTGATTTTCTTCAATAAATCAAATGTGATCATTTTCTTTAACGATTTGATCGCTAAAGTCATTTTTCTCTTGATCTTCAGGAATATGTACGACGTGATTATCTTCTTTAATGATTTGATCGCTAAAATCATTTTTCTCTTGATATTCAGCAATATGTATGATGTGATTATCTTTACCGATTTGATCGCTAAGGTGATTTTCCTTTTGATCTTCAACAATATGATTATTTTCTTCAATGGTTTGAACGCTAAGGCTATTATCTTCTTTAACGATTTGAATGTTAGGGTGATTTTCCTCTTGACCATCAGCAATATGATTATTTTCTTCAACGGTTTGAACGCTAAGGTGATTATCTTCTTTAACGATTTGAACGTTAGGGTGATTATCTTCTTTAACGATTTGAACGTTAGGGTGATTTTCCTCTTGACCAACAGTTTGAACGTTAAGGTGATTATCTTTAACGATTTGAACGTTAGGGTGATTTTCCTCTTGACCAACAGTTTGAACGTTAAGGTGATTATCTTCTTTAACGATTTGAACGTTAGGGTGATTTTCCTCTTGACCAACAGTTTGAACGCTAAGGTGATTATCTTCTTTAACGATTTGAACGTTAGGGTGATTTTCCTCTTGACCAACAGTTTGAACGCTAAGGTGATTATCTTCTTTAACGATTTGAACGTTAGTGTGATTTTCATCTTGACCTTCAACAATATGATTAACTTCTCCAACGATTTGAACGTTAGGGTGATTTTCCTCTTGACCTTCAGCAATATTATTATTGAGCCTATTATATCTTTGATCAGCTTTAATGGATTCATATATCGGAGCACCAATAACATATCTAAGAATAAAATCAGCATCTTGTGTATCAGGTGAACCTGTTGCAATTTTAGATTCGATATTCTTTTTAGTTTTTCTAGTGATTCCTTTGAATAATCCACAGCAACCGTTATGTACAAGACCAAATGGTTTGATGAACTTATCACCTAAATTGTTTCAAGTAAGTTAACTGATAATGTTTTCAAGAAATTGATCAAAATTAAAATAATTTACCAAATAAAATTACGTAAATAGTCATTAAAAGGGAATAATAACCAGCAATAGCTCCCACGATACCTATAATCTAGTTATCTAAACGAATAAATGAATAATGTTTATTATAAGGGAAATGTGGGTATTTCGACGAATGTGTGGCACTGACCGATTTTCACTGATCGACAATCAAAACAGCGAATATTGCATTTTTTTAAAGTCATAAACGAGGCTTGTCTTATACTGAAATTTTGCAGGGAATTTTTTACTAGCGCGCAGAAGAAGGTTACATAGATGAAATTTTGTGTTACAGGCGGTTTTTTAAAAAAAACGCATGATTTTCACGTTACACTTGTAATCTAATTGGTCAATTCGATGTCGATCAGTGAAAATCTGTTGCCACTGGGTAGTTTTACACAGAGTTCATCGTATAATTTTTTTATATAATGGAGAGAAGACTCAAATTTACATAGTTCAAAAACAAAAAAAATAAAATTTTAAGTTTTTGGCAGACTTTTGTTAGTAAGAAATGTTAGCTTCGTCAAAATACCCAAATTTCCCTTATGTACTTAAAAAAAAAAAAACATAATTTAAAATGTACTTACGGAACTGCTCCTATTATGTATCATTGTTATTATAAATTGTAAATAATTCATATTCTTATAAAAATAATATAAATAATTTTTTCACCTTTGTTCTCTTAACACTTCCACGATAAGGGATTGTGGGTCAATTTCTACAGCTAAATTACGATCAGGTCTTTGTTTCAAGGAGGTAGACTCTATTATTATTTATTATGGTGTAGTATAAACAAAATATGTCAGCATTTTGTAAAATTATAAAACGTAAAATATTATTACGTACGTATATTTGATTGAATAAAATATTGATTATCATATTGTGATGGGATACCAATGAAACTATTTACTGAATCAATCGCTTGTCTTATTTTTCTAGAGAATGTTAATATATAATACTATTGATCCGTAAGTAATGTATATTTGAAAAAAAATTAATATTTCCTAATAAGTACATTATATGGGGATAAATAATACTCGTTTGTATAATTAAGCGATTCGACAAATAGTGATGATAATGAATCATGGAAATCCTTTCTCCACGGATCATATTCTATTAATTTTTATTTTGACATGTTATTAAAAAACAAAGGTTTGTAATAAACTACATGAAGCATTTACCTGAATCAAATGCATACATCGCCATGAGCCATTCTCCTTTATCAACAGGCTCTGTGATATTTATTGCAATTTCAACCCATTGAAATTTAGTCACATTCAGAACCAATTGGCCTTTTGGCAAAAACTTTCCAACTAATGGGCGATTAATATCAACACCATCTTCCCTAACGGGCTGTATGATATAATCATTACAAGAAGCTTTTGAATATTTTGGAGTTAGATATTTATGAACAGTGAAAATAGCGATACCATAGAAGTTTCGTTAAAGAGAATCTATAAATCCGATTTTCAGTCGTAACTGAGAGCACGTTATATTGGTTATTTTAGTTGGTAATACTGTATATAATAAATACCTAACGCTAAATTGATGAATTACTAAATAACAAGAACGCGTCTTCAATAAATTATTATTTTATTAGATTCTTGTTATTAGGCTCTTTGGGCGGTAAGATAAAAGTACTGTAAGAAATCGGATTTATAGGCTCCTTCGGCGGCACTCATATAAAAGCCATCTTACCGTTGTTTTGGGAACCATTTATATTAAACCAACAAGAGGAGATAATAAAATTTTTGTCATAGGCAAAGTATAAATCTGAGTCGATTTGCAATTTCGATATTTAGATACTTGCTAACGGATATTAATGGATCATTGAAATTAAAAGTCATTTTACCTGGTACAGGTATCATATCACTTGAAGTATAAATGCTACTTAAGGTAGGTTTTGCATTAAACAAATTATAAATCAATACTGCAAAGAAACCAACTAATATTCCTAATGAAATAATAATAAAAGCACGTCGAAAACATAGAACCGATGTGGGTTCTGCTCTTTTGTTAGCTAAGTATTGCAACATTTTTATGTGCTTTGTTTCTTAAAAAATTCGGGTTCGAATTTTGTTCGAGATCAGGGGAAAAGTTACTTTAGCGGCCAGGTTTTTATTTCTTTATTACGTTTATTGGTTTTTAGCAAGAGCGAATGCTTTGCCTTACTCTATTTATACACAATATGACTCTAATAGGCTACAATTAATGACGCATCTACATAAATCTGCTTATGCTAAAAATTTTGATTTTAAAAGCAGATATATACATCGCAGAATTCTGGACACTAGAACGGAGTACAAAGTGCATATAGTACGATTTAATAGTAATGCTATATGTGGAATGTGTTAAACTTTCTATTCTCCAAGTTACTGATTCTGGCCAACTAGAGTGCAAAATCAGGTATATCGTGTACAATAACTTTTTTCGGAAAGAACAATTGGTGCGAATAAGTTCAGCCTATAAAAACTTGGAGAAAATTAGTAAAATCAGTAAAATCTGAGTCGATTTGCAATTTCGATATTTAGATACTTGCTAACGGATATTAATGGATCATTGAAATTAAAAGTCA